GGTTTTATTCTTCAGGCAATGAGGAGCACTGACATGTGGGAAGGAGGAAGAACAATGTAATCAGGTCTGTATCTTTGAAAGCCTATCCTGGAACTCCGTGGATGATGAGTTGGAGAGTGAAAGAATTTAGAGATTAAGCAAACCATTTGGGAGGAAGGCTCCTGCAGCAGCACAGTGATCAGGTGATGAAAAAGGGCTGAATCTGGACAGGTAGAGCAAATTAGAGAGGTGGAGATGGATTCAGAAGACAGTTCAGGGGCTGAACTGAGAATACAGCATAAACCATTGTGAGGGATGGAGTCAAGAGCAATTCCCAAGTCCCTGGCTTGCTGACTCAATGACTACTGACTAAGATAGAAAACACACAGAGAAGCTGATCTGAAGGAGGAAGAAAGATGATTTTTGATTTGGGCATGTTGATCTGAAATCCCAGTGAAAATGTCTGGTAGGAAGTAGGATCTGAAGCCTAGCAATGACACGCAGGTTAAAGATAAAGATTCCAGGAATCACGGGCATCAATGATGAATGAACGGTGGTGGCAGATGAGATCCTCAGGAAAATGTGAGGAATGTGAAGAGAAAACAGAGCAAGTACAAGCCTAGAGAACAGAAATAGTCAGCAGATGTTGGACGACAGCTGTTTGAGTGGTTGCATTTTATCTGCTCACATTCAAGGTTTTTGACTTAGGAACCTCACCTCCTACCCAACTGGTGAACCAATGGCTTTACTCACTTATTTCCTACACCTCCCTAACGTTCCAGAGACTTAGAGCCTCTCTCTCATCTCTGAAACAACACCTTCTCTGTGAAATCTTATATCCTTCCTTGCTTTGGGAAAGCTTCGCTGAATTACTTTCTATATTGGGGAAGCAATATTTTACTTTATAAATCACAAGGTCCTTGAGTCCTTACTACTGTATTCTTTCTTTATGTTTCTTTTTTCCTTCTCATTTACACAAGGAACTTGAGGCACTTAAACAGGGTCAAAAATTAAGTTCAGTATTTGTAGGCAGGGACACATCTGACTAAATATAACTCCTGTCTATAAGATCTTAAACTCCAAAACAAATTAATTTACAGTGAATTTATTATACAAAAATAGCCTCTAAACAAAATTTAGCTAATTTATATGATGAAGAGATGGGGAAAATAAAACAAGTATAAGAAGATAATACAGTGAGGAGAAAAAGCTATAATAATTCACATTTATGAATTCAAATGGTTTCAAACAAAATTTAAGAATTATATACAATTAAGCATTAAATAATCAAATATATAAAATATGATACATATAGTTTAAGTGACTCAAAAATCTTTAAACTGATTGCTGTATGTAAAGGATCTTCCCTGGACATATAGAAAAAAAGAAGCTGTCCTCTCCTCACCCCCCATGTTGCAATTTCTAAAAGAGATTTGGGGGCTTAAAATAAAATCTCAATCAAGAATTTAATGCCAGACTTGTTTAATGACCACAGTCCCAAGTCCGTCAAAAATCTGCAATTATACAAAATCCAAATTAGATGTTTGCTTTTTAAAGACTAGGACAGGCTAAAACAGCAATTTATGTATGTAAAAAAATGCCTTGGAATTATACATATAATTACAACTACCACAATAAAATTATATGCTAACGTTTATTAACCACATAGCTCTTGTTTTCCCTTCTCAAAGGTCTCAAAGAATTAATGACTGATGGCAAATCTGGTTTGCATACTTAAAAGGCAAAACTTTATATTTCTTTAACCCTCTAAGTACCTTTAAAATGAACTCTATTGAATATAAACAGTCAATGAACATATGAAAAAGTCTTAACCTCCCAAATAGGGAAAGGCATGCAAACTAAAACACCATGAAAGAGTATTTTTACCTATCAAATTAAAAAATTATAATTAGCAATGTTGGCCAAAATGTGACGAGACCAGCTTCTGAAAAGCAATCTGGCAATATTTCACTAAGAGTCTTTGGAGCTCTAATTCTACTTTTAGGAATCTACTATGATGAAGTAATAAGAAATGTGATCAGAGATTATCTTCACCTCTCAATAACAACAGCAACAAAAATAATTTTAAGGTTCCCAGCAACGAAAAAGTTAAAAAAAAAAAAAAAAAAGGGTACATCTACATGAATAAATATCATAAAGCCATAAAACTCATATTTATAAAAATATTTAATAAATGGAAATAAAAGTGCTTACAACAGAACAGTCAATAAAAAAAGATACATTCAATGTAAACGGAATTCAGAAAAACATGTTTCATATTTTTTATAACATATACAGATACAGGTATATGGTATATATAGGTATAGGTATATATAAAATATTGATTACTATATATACTAAAATATGACAGTGTTTATCCTTGGTGCATTACAGATGATTTTTAAAAATTTTTTTAGACTTTTCAGTATCTCTCCTTTTTAAAAATATTGATTGGGTTTTACTTTCTGAGTAGGAAAAAATGCATGACTGGAAAAAACACATCCAAGACTTGAGAAAAAGCTCAGTGGCACTGGCACTGCAAATGGAAATGCACAAGCGGCAGGATGCTCACGGCAGCACTTGCTGTGTGGGCTCCGAACAGCACAGAGTCCACGTAAGGATCATAACGGGCTTATTTTAAAGGAGACATCTTCTAGGGCAAGATGAATTGGATACTCTGATCTGATAAATTACCATTTAATATTGTTTCATAAAGTCCAAAACGATACACACTAATCAACTGGCTTCATGTCCCATTTCTTTGGTGTATTTCATGGGAACAATTTTGTTCTTTAAGACGTATGGCACTGGGCCAGAAAGCATTCTGGATTTAGAATGAGAAACCTTAATTTTGAGTCCTGCTTTGCTCTGCTACTTACAGGTCAAGTCATTAACCTTGTGAGCATCTTTCCATATTAAAAAATGGAGTTAAGAATACCTTCCTCAGTTATCTCACAGGGTTTTCTGCATCAAATAAAATTGTATATATGAAATCATTCTAGCTTTAAATGATCACTGATCATTAAATTTTAATAACCTCCTAAAAAGCATGGTTATTTGTGTATCGTTCCTATGTTAAAATTAATCCTACTTTTGAAGATGAGGAACAAGATGAAGGGAATTAACAACTGGCCATTTTCACGCTTCTACTAATAGAAGTACCAGTAAGAAAGCAGGGGGAAACATGCCTGGAAGAACCCTTGGCAAAGCCCCAGATCAATCCTGGAAGGAGCTCTGAGAGAATGTCTAGTGTCTGGTGACACTAAGTTAGGAGCCCACAGTGAACCAGTATCTCCAAGGGCAGAAACAGAGCAATAAAATGGATAACAACAGCTTTTGGGATCTATGCCTCGAGTCATCTGTCATTTGAAAAGGGAACTATGAAAAACAATGGCAATTAGCAGCCTTTTTCCCTTAATGCAAGAAATATATTCTACTTGGTTGGTATCATGAAGTTAATGGATTCACTCATAATAAATAGAATCAGTGCAAATGCTATAATCTAAATCCAGTTTACTATCTATTCATTTAATACACAACTGAATGATTTCAAAATATTCAATGGTCAATTTGAAAAATTCCAAATTTGGAGTGTGAAAAATAGCCCACCATCCCAGATCCTTCATATTACCTTGGTCTCAAAATGATCTAGACAAAGACTAAGAAGGATATCAAAGCTTATTTGTATGTTGATTTCATTCTTCTTCTTAATGATATAAACTGAAGCAATAGATAGTTCCTACTTAAACTGCTTAAAAACCTAAAGAAAACTAAATTTACTGCTTCTGTCATATGCAATTCCTAATCATTTCATATAATTTTAAAATGATAAAAAGTTTTTCCAAAAAATACATCTGTGTCATTATTGTTACTGCATAAAAACGAAGTGTCTACTTCCTACAAACACTAACTTCTTACTGCAAGAGAGCACCTCACAATTCTCAACAGAAAAATTTCTGGAAATAAACTCGACATTTGGCCCTACAACCTTAAGTCACAACATTTCTCATCAGGATGATTAATCTTTACGAAAAGGCAGGAAAACAAGACAGAGCCACCCACTTTGACATTTTCATTCTTTGAAAAAAAAATCCCAATCTAGTTCATGAACTAGAACCATCATTTGTAAAAAGTATGCAATCCATCAAGAGTACTTTTTGATTTTAAGATTAACAAGATCATTATCTTTCTTATTCTTTGCACTGAGAAAACTGTACTGACATTATGAAGTGGTTCTAGCTTAGTTTTACTTAGAAATCTGATAAACCTCTGCCCAGGAACCAACCAACCTTTAATAACAAGGTTACTTCATTTTTTTCTTTTTCTGCTTACTTGAAAAAATATAAACAACAATGTGTAACATCTAAAGAAACCTACTCCATTAATTTATACAGGACTCATTTTTGTCCAACCTTGCTACATCCATGGATTGGAGAGTGGAGAGTATGTATTTTTCAGGTAAGATATTAAGCAGCCTACGGCTGTTGTTAGCCAGTCTCGAGTGCGCGTGCATGTGTGTCTGTGTGTGTGCGCGTGCTCAAGTAGTAAAACAAAAGCACCACTGTGGTCACATGGAGAGGGAGAGAGGAAGAAGAGATGTGAATCAGCACAAGAGGTTTTCCTACAGGCTCAGGGAGTTTGCTGTTGGGTATAGGCGCAAGCTTTAACCTAAAAGGAGCCAAATCTGCAGTGATTCTTAAAGAGCTGGGTTTGATGCCTTTCTCTCCTTGTTTTCTTCCCTCACTTCTAAACAGCTTAGGTGGGGAGTATATCAGCTCTAACCTTGAGAAAGCTTTGCTCTAGAGAAAAGAAGACACTATTAAATTAATGATTCAAGGTGACATAAGAAGAGTGGGAATCACTCAAAGATAGGGTGGGGTGAAGACAGGCAAGGAATATGAGTGTGGGAGGGCAAGCAGAGGGAAAAGTGTAGGGAAGCAAAAGAAAGAGAGAGCTGAGAAAATAGTCTGGAAACTAAGTGGACAGAACAATCAACTTGTCCATTAACATAATTCACTTACCTGCGTTATTTTTTCTATTCCCTGGAAGTTGTGCTTTTCAAAATGTTCTGCTATATTTAGGAAGGTGTGACGTTCTAGGTAGCAGCAATTACTCAGGACTATCAAAAGTCGCTGTTCCTAAAAGCAAAACAAATTTTTAGAAAATTACATTTATGTAACAAATTGAGAGTCTAACAGATAGCATTTATCACTTATTACATTTAACTACAATGTCTTGGTGTTTATCAATTTCAACGTTTTGTTTTTCTTGGCTCCTTCTTTCCCAATACTAACACAGAGAGAAACATAATACAATTCTATAATTCCACTAACTGCTCATTACCACATAATACACTAAAGAGTCAAATAATCTTCCCTTTGAAATTTAACAGCTGCGTGGAAAAACAGATTGATGAAACAGTTAAATAGTCAAGTAGAATCAGCTGTTATTCTTTTGAAATGGGGTTCTACTTTATCATTCTACTTAATACTCTGTTCACAAAAGAGCTATAAAATAGATATTTTTAAATAATTAAATAAATGTATACACTCTTAGAAATTAGTTTATAAATTTTTCATAACTTGGAAGAGAATTAGAATGCCATCCATGTGATGGGCTTCTTCAAAAAACTTGGGTCTGCAGACATTTTTATGTAGAACAGGCCCCTCTTACGGCGAGTGGGGACAGAGGCTGGGGCTCTCCCGGTGTCAGTCATGGAGAGAGCTGGAGCCACATCCCACTCTCCAGCACTCTAACTGCTTCAAGTAATTTCTTATCAAAATTACCAGAATCCAGTGCTGATGAATAAAACATCCTTTTACAGTTCAGAAGAACTACTTTTATAAATAAAATTCCAGGAATGGCCTTTGTCACTGCTCTTGTGGCTCACCGAAAGCACTTTCCCCATGCTCCCTTAGGTGTGAGGGAGAGCATTCTCTGGAACAACTGTGACTAATTTAGGGCCTCAATTTAAGATCCCTTGACTAAAAACTAAGGCAAAAACCACTTTCCAGGAAAAGTTCTTACCCACATTTTGCTTACTATTTTGTATATAATCAAATAACCTATGTTAAAGTCAATAAAATAAGTGTGGAAATAAACAGGTCCCTTTCCTTTGAGGTGCACGAACCACAGATGAACTACATATACTCTTTGAACTCAATTGCCAAGCATAGCTTTTATCTCCCTGAAATTCATTTAGCTCATCAAATTTTTGAAAACTTTCTAAATTTCTTTATTTAAAATGTTCCTAACTTTATCTCTGGCAGAGTGTAGCCTATTCACTGCTTTTCTTGGTCATCAATAAATATAATTAAAAGGCCAAGGAATTATTAAGGTACCTTCAAACAAAGGAAGGGTTGTTAATGGCACTGAATTAATCTACAGATGAGAAATGGAGTATAAAACAACGTAAATGGGGTTATGGTCTATATACTACTCCGCAATGGTCTGTATAGTACTCCGCAATTTGTAAAGAAGGGCAAGTGAGAACCAGAAAGAAAGCAGTGAACATCCTGGAAAGGTGTGCAGGCGAGGCTGGGGGAGAGGAGGCCACAGTCCCTTGTGCCCGGTGTTCCTGCCCCGCGGTCCTTGTCAACCACAGGAAATAAAGGAAACGGACGTTTCATCAGCCACTCTAAACACGCTGCACTCTCCAAAATGCCCAACTGCTTTCTCAGTTACAAAATCCATCCTTCCTTACTTTTCCCTTCGAGTCTTCCTCCTCATGTAGGAGTCCACCTGGGCCTGCCGCACCTTCTCTGCCCCGTTAATTGACTCTCTTTGGCTGATTTTTCTCATATGTAAACGGAAAAACTATTTGAGTGACTTGAAGTCTTACTCTCAGTAACTGTTTTTTTCCTCAAATCTAACCAATCAGAAAAATAAAAGTGGGAAGAACAACTGAACAATGCAATCAAATAATCGAATTTTTAAACTTGGATGACTAATCAAAGCTTATCAACAACTTAGATAAATACGTACGTCTGAAAACAACTCAACCTACCAAAGGTAGGACTTGCAGAATAAAGACGATGGCCTTATGTATTATTTCAGTTTTTCCTCACAGAATCTCTAAGACATAGCCAATAACACTCCAACTTTGTCCAGGAGAAAACAGGACATGCTCAGTGACATGTCCAAGGTTACTCAGTTAGTAAGAAACAGACCAGGAAGTGAACCAGTGTCTTCTGACTCCAAACCTGGACCTTTCTTACCATAACTGTATATCTGCTGGATAAGAGAACAAGACCCTAAGAAGATCTCAATAATCTGTGCCAAATCTAATGAGATATCATCCAATGGGAAAAAAACAGGAACTGAACTTGGGACCAAATGAACAATTTTTGGGGAGTATAATGGGAAAGATAAGTCCTGTGACTAGCAGAAGCAAGTATGAAACACTTGGGGTTTTAGTTGACAGTAAGCTCAGCGTGAGTCAACCGAGATGTAACTTCACGTGTATTTCTGGCTGCTTCACAGTAATCAGGGTCACATGGGAGTCCTGCTCCACCCTTGAAGGAGGACAGAAGTAGACTCAGAGGAGAACTACCACATCAAGGGCCTGCAAGCTCATCAGCTGGGAGACGCCTCAACAATTTACGCTGTTAGCTAGGAGGAGGGAAGATTCTGAGCACACACAGCAGCTGTTTTCAAACACTGGAAAGATCATCACATAGAAATTAGGTTCGTTCTAAAACACAAGAGAAAAGCATAGCTGGCCAGATGGCTGGCAAGGTCTTCCTTAATTTAGAAGGATCTTTCCTCCAGCCCGTGTCCTTTTCTAGCTCTCTTGCTGTGCTCACAGTGGAAAGAACGGTTTAAACTCACCACAACACCTTCCTCAGCTCCTAGTCGCTCTTGACCCAGTGCAAGCAGATGGCCCCTCAGAAGTTCCCTGGGGCAGTTCTCCCACCGTCATCACACAGGACCTCCTAACCGCCATGCTCACGAGGCTCTAGTTTTCACCTGACCCAACCTGATCCTCCCTCAGTATGCGATACCGTTAAATATTCCTGTTTAAATGCTTTTTTCCATCTGTCTTGGGAACACTGCACTATCTGGATTGTCTTCTCTCTCTCATTCCTTTTCCAGAACCTTCGAGGCTCTCTGCTTCTGGCCACCCCTTAAATACTGGTACTCTCAATATTATTTTTACATATTTGGTCCTCCCCTCATTCTACTAGTATTTTCCCTAGTATTCTCATCCACTCCTCGGCCTTATATTGCTTCTATACTGCCGACTCACAAACCTCTATCTAGATTTCTCTCCTGGGGTGCAGACAAGTCTATGCAACCACCCACTAGAAATCTCTACCAGAATGTCACTCAAACAACATATCTGGTCCCAAACTGAATTTTTTTTTTTGTGTGTGAGGAAGATCAGCCCTGAGCTAACATCCATGCCAATCCTCCTCTTTTGCTGAGGAAGATTGGCCCTGAGCTAACATCTATTGCCAATCCTCCTCCTTTTTTTCCCTTTTTCTCCCCAAAGCCCCAGTAGATAGTTGTATGTTATAGCTGCATATCCTTCTAGTTGCTGTATGTGGGACGCCGCCTCAGCATGGCCTAAGAAGCGGTGTGTCGGTGCGCGCCCAGGATCTGAACCTGGGCCGCCAGTAGCAGAGCGCACACACCCAACAGCTAAGCCACAGGGCCTGCCCCCCCAAACTGAATTTTTAATCTTTCTTTAGAACATATTTTCTTCTTGAATTCTCTCCATGAATGGTACCATTATCTACCTCATTCAAGTAATTAAACCTAGAATAGTTTTTTTAAAACAATTACTTTATTAAACTATCCTTTTCCTCATATGACAAATCCCTTATTTGGGAATTCATACTTATAATAATTGTGGAAATGATGTAGGGCAGGAAATTTAGGTCATATATTTTCTTTCTTGAGAGATACAACCACATATATACACACACATCTTTCAAGCTAATCACAAATCAGAAGGGGTATTATTTTTTTAAGATAGCTGGAGTTTGGATTTCAATAGCTGAACTTATACATGTGATAAAGTATGTATGTGAAATATCGCTAAATACATGTATATGTTAAAAAACACATATGTGTATATATATACAAGGTGGTTTGGTTTTGTTTTTGCCATGGAACTTGTGTTCAAATAAAATGCTATTAGGTAACTCACGGAAATAAAACAGAGAAAAGCAGAGCTTCTCTGGGTAAGGAGGAAAAATGTGGGACAGGGGCACCTGCCCTCCGCCTCCTCACCCAGGAAACCACCAGGGCATCTGTTTCACACTCAAGGACCCGCGTGATGCACAGAGTAGATACAACTACTTAAGCTGCAACTTCAGCTAAAAAGTTTTTAAGTGTGGAATACATATAAAATTATATTTTCACTAAAATTTTCACAAAACAAAACATAGCTCCCAAGTAGAGTGCAGTATGCTACAGTAATGCAGTAGCAAAGTAATTTAGATTGATTTACGAAACAGTCATTACATAGTTTTAAAATGACATGTTTTACTTTCTATTTATCATCTAATTATTTACCATCTTACCTACCGAAGTCAAACTGATGTCTTCATGGATACTTCCAAACAAATCAGGAGAAGAAACGTCAACAGAAAGACTAAATATAGAAGCAAGAGAACAGTTACAATTAAAGCACTAAAATAAAAAATGCTAATATAATGTTATAAGTCAATTATACCTCAATTAAAAAACAAAGCTGTGAACTCATTTGGCCTTAAAATCTTTTGGTCAAAAATCACATAACTTTCTGTAAGTTTTTTATATTTAATAATTAACAGTCCACAGTAAATACTATGGAGTAGCTGTTAACATGGGCCATATGAAATTTGCTTTTGGATCTTCCCAATACTGACTTAATCAAATTCAAAAACAAATCACCAAGGGGGAATATACCAAATAATTTAATTTCTAGGTATAGACTCAAATAATTGAAATGTTTTTGCCTATCAGAATCTCCAGGGGGCTTTTTCAAGCTCATAGTAAACCACTTACAGATGAGTTGAGTTAGGAAATTAGTTAATAACTCACAAGTGACCAGATATATAAAATTGTGGGGGAGGGATTATCATAAATCCACTGATTAATTCATAGATACAACAGAATCGGAATAAACACCTTAGGAGGAATTCTTTTCTCTAAACTTAACCAACTGATTTTAGAATTCAAATGAAAGACTAACTAGATGAAAATATCAAATAATATTTCAAAATAGAGAAGCAATAAAAGAAAACCAATCTGAAAAACATTAAAAATAAACTAATGATAAAATAACACAAACTGATAGAAAATACATATGAATAAACAAAAGATAAAAGTTCAGAAATACGTTGCACTACATATTAGAATACACTGATGTATGAAACAGAAATGGTAACAAAACAATAAGGAAGGAAAGATTTATTTAACCAATAATATCGGAACTGATTAACAATACAAATTCCTGGTAGATTAATGTGTTAAACATATGAAATCAAATTAAAGAATAACTAGAAGAATTAGATATTTATTAGGTCTCAGAGAGGATAGTCTCATATATTGAGAGGCAAAAACCAATACCAAGAGATAGACAAACATGGAAAAATTCTCAAATTGTCAGTTATAGATTTAAGAGGCATTTATTTCAGTATTATCTGTGTCAGAGCATAAAACTTAGGTGCACAGAAGTTACACGTGCCAAATATCATTCAAAAAACTAGACTTCTGAAAAACCCTACAGAACATTATAAAAGAATTATCACATGGATTTGTAAACATCAAAAATCAAGCTGTATCCTCTGGAGCTCGAATAACTAAGTCTGCCCAGACTTGATCCCCTAACATAGTCAGTCTTTAATAGGCGTTGGTGCAGTCCTCACACCAGAATTGTAAAAGTTACCAACTAGGAATTATACACTTTAATTTTCTACTTTATTATTTATAAAACTTGCCCCTTTGGATAATTAGTAAGCTAATCAAGCATGTATTCAGTTTGCTATCACGTTGCTAGTAATGCTGAGTTCAGAAGATAAAGAAATTATGGAAAGAATATAGGTCAAATATATAAATTATAACTTTAACACGAACAATCTCTCTCTCTTACTAGAAGTCTTAGGATATAAAACCAAGTAGTCTGTACTTTTAGTCCTTCTAAATGCTCAATGAGATTAATTTCAGTTTTACTTACTGTGCAGTATCTACATCGGCATCAGGCTTGGTGCTCAATTGTTCCAGACAGTATATAAAAATCTAGGTCAAAAATAAGAAGTTTCAGTGATATGAACTCTTAGATTGTAACCAATTTGGACATTAAAAATAATTTTATGTAAATAGAAAAACAGAAACATATATCCTATAAGTGGTATGTATGTATGTATGTATGTATGTATCTCTCATAAGTGATGGAATATATTGGAATATATACCCCACCAATGTGTATTACATAAGTGATAGAAAACTAAAATCACCTGTGTTTTGATCCAATTAAGTTCTTGAATATATTTTAGGAAAAAGACCTTTTTCTTTCTCTCATTCACTCACTCATATGCTCTACTTTATGTGCCCACAAAACACTGGTCCCAATCAAAGAACTTCACGCTACAGATACAATGTAAACAATTATCATGTCATTTAATCTGTGCTCTAACAGAAATATATATAAAGTACCACGAGAACACAAAAAGGGGAGCGTAATATAAACGAAATATTGGAGCATTGCTACAAGAGGTTAGAATTAACCTTACCTTGAATATTATTTCTTTTGTTACCTTACTTACCATAAACTATGATATACTCAGACAAAATGAAAAAAGAATACATATTTAACATGTTACACATATATTATAAATAGGAGGGGTTCACTAATAGTGTGCATTATTTCAGGCTTCCCCAGGGCATCAGTGCTTTTACATATTACCTGCATGATACTGATGCTTAGTTGGCAAACCTCCTCCTGTGTTTTAGGTTGTTGAAAGACCTATAAGGAAGAATTTTGATGAAAATTTTTGGACTTAGCTAAGCAAACAAAATTCTTGTTTATGAAACTTGATATAAAAAAATTAACATATGGAAAACTGCTTCCAGTGTAGATAACCTTTCTCTGAAAAGGGACAGGAGTGGAGATCTGGCCTATAGGCAGTGTTTCTACCTGCAGTGATTTCGGCCTGAGAAGACACTGACCCGGCGCTGCTTGACTACATCCAGGTCAGCCATTCTCTTCATCTACGAAGTGTTAACAAGGCAAGCACTCTGCCTACAACACTTACATTCACATTTTAACTTCCATCAGCCCATCTTGGAACCAAGAAATCAAGGGCCCAAGCAGTTAAATAAAATAAAACAAATAAGCAGTCAGGGGAAAAAGGTCTTGCACTGAAATGACTCAAAAATGTCTAACTGTGATTCCCAAGGGTTCCTTGGGAAAGTTTAAAATAGAGGCAGAATGTAACAGAAAACTTACACTGGCTTCTCCAGGCTTGCACTCTAGAACACCTTTAAGTGACTGGAGAGAATGTATAATGCACTGTTCAAACTGACATGGCTGAAGGAAAAAAAAAATGCGTATCTTAAAATCGAAAACAAGCATTGATTATTAAGACATTTAACAGAAGCAAATATGGCCAAAAGCTCTACTTCCAGATTTATGGAAAGGAACAGAGATGCAAACCATTTGACAATCTCCTAGTTACTGAGATGTACATTTGGCATGTTCCACAGCTGGTATTTAAAAAATGGGTGAATCCCAGGGCCGGCCCCGTGGTGTAGCGGTTAAGGGCGCGTGCTCCGCTGCTGGTAGCCTGGGTTTGGATCCCAAGCGTGCACCGACGCACCGCTTGTCAGGCCATGCTGTGGCGGCGTCCCACATAAAGTGGAGGAAGATGGGCACAGATGTTAGCCCAGGGCTGATCTTCCTCACCAAAAAAAAAAAAAAAAAAAAAAAGGGTGAATCCTGAGACTACATCTAATTCAACTAGAACAGAAGTCAGGTATAACTAAAACAATTCTTCAAAATTCTCCTCTTCTGAGAGGCAAATGACATGCCAAAGAGCAGATATAACAAGTTTATATTATAAACACTATTTCCAGGGTATATTCTGGGATGACCTTACTCTCTGAGATCTTCCACATCTCTGGTACTGTTTAACAAAATTTAATGTTAATAATGATCCAGAGGAGGTCCAAGGTCTTTAATTCAAAAAAGTCATTACAGTCATTTTCTATTTACATTAATTCAGAAAATGAAACTTGAAAATATGTCCAACAAATGGCATTCAAAGTAAGTTTAAATGAATCCTGACTGTACTTAAGGTTTTAGTTTGTGCCAGGCATACTTTAGGTGATGGGGATATCAGAGTAACATGGACCGAGTTCTCATTAAGTGCATATTCTAGGGCGGGAGACACTACCATAAAAGACAGTTAACAAAACTGTGACTTTTTACTTAAAAAAAAAAAAAAAAAAACTACAGAAATAAAATAAGTGCAATTGCAAACCAAAACAAGTGTTACGAAAAAAATAAGTGAGAACTCAGAAAAATGGTGATAGGGGACCTGCTCTAAACAGGAGAGTCAAAGAAAGTCCCCTGAGACAGGGAGAACATATAAGCTGAGACCTGAAGGGCAAGAGGGGCTGGCCCCCACAGGAAAGGAAGGAGAAAGGCCTGCATGTGTACAGGTCCCAGACAGGTGGGCAGAGCCCTTGAGGGAGGGGCCACAAGAAGAGCCGCTGTGCCTCACGGCCACTGAGCCTGGGCTGGCCGTGCTGGGAGCAGCCAAGGGTCTGGGTCTCAGGCAGGAGGTGGGACTGTACAAGGCACAAATTCAACTAAGCCAGCTCTGTGGAAAACTGGAATCAGAACCTCTCCTCCACGTAAGCTTCAATTTTTTTTTTATTGAAGGTCAATTTTTAAGAGAGTTTGGGATAATACTGAACAGAAGAAAGAAACACCTGTATACAAACAAAAAAAAGACAAGTTTATCTTCTTATAAAAAGGAACCCAGACAATTAATAAAAGCTAAAATAGTTCCTCAACTTGAATGTCATTTTAAATGCACTTTGAAGCCACCAGAGGGCACCATAAAGAATACTTAAAAGTAGAAGCAGCAAAAAAAAAAAGGAATACAGGATGAAATACCAACTACACAGAAAGCATTTAAAGAGTCAAAATGTTTGTTAGGTACCTGACCTTATCCAGCCCAACCCACCTGCCTCAGAAGGTATGAAAATCTAAGATGTTAAAATGATAAAAAGAGTAAGAATTAAGTCCAAAATTCAACTGTGAGCAGTCAAATGTTGATGTTCACGTGTGGTTATTTAGATTTCTTGCATTAAAACTTGGACTAGATTTTCTTATTTTCTTTTTATATCTATACTAATACAATAAATAGACAGAGAATACCAGAGAGCCCAATGGCTAGTTTCAGTTAAACTGGGAGTAATGACAGTCTGAACATCTGCTATTTCTTTCTTCTAAAAAGAAAGACCCAGTCCTATCTCTGCAGTCAGTGAATCATCCACTTTAGCTGACTGTAAGGAGTTATCGCAAACCATTCCAGTTCTTCTGAAAGAAAAAATTCTCAGAATGATCCAAAGTGAAAAAAAGCAGAAAACATTTTCAACATAAGAAAACAGGATGCTTTCAAAGGAGCTGCTTCAGAGCACTGAAGTGAGGTTTGAGTTAGAGATAATACTTCAGCTGAAAGAACAGTCATAATGAGGCAAAGTCACGTTCATTTCTTTAACTTGATAAGGAACGTTTTCCTATCGCAGTCACATGGAAAGAAAAACATCTTCTCATTTCAAACAAATGGGATTGGTGCTATGGAAATGTTAAAAAAATATAAATTAGAGGTATGTAATAGCCTTTAAGGCAATTTAAGACATTGTTCAAAGTCCAAGAACTTTACAGATTTTAGTTAGGTTAAAATACTCAAAGCTGGAACCTGGACTTTAAGCATTGATTCACCTTTTCTCTTAAGTGAAGTCCATGCTGACTAGCTAAAAATGTGGTCAGCTTTTCAAGTCTATTCTCCAACAGCATCTGACTAGAGATGGACTGGCTGACACCAGAAGGGTAACTTCCTGTGGGTCATCCATCCATCAGGGTGTGTGAGACCAAACATGAGATGAGTTATTCTATGGGTAGAGTTTCTTACATAGTTAAACTTTAAATTGACTACAAACAAGTTTCTATAGCAACCATTTCACAGCATTTTCAAAGGGGCTTATGTACTATAATCAAACAGCCTTAGACGTGGCAGCCATCACACGGGCACACACAGCGGGACCCAGACGTGGCAGCCATCACACGGGCACACACAGCGGGACCCAGACGTGGCAGCCACCACGTGGGTACACACAGCGGGACCCAGACGTGGCAGCCATCACGTGGGCACACACAGCGGGACCCAGACATGGCAGCCATCACGCGGGCACACACAGCGGGACCCAGACGTGGCAGCCACCACGCAGGCACACACAGCAGGACCCAGACGTGGCAGCCATCAAGCGGGCACACACAGTGGGACCCAGACGTGGCAGCCACCATGCGGGCACACACATGTCCAAAAATTTGGAAGTAAGCACTGCTATTTTAAACCACACCATTACATCAAGTAAGGTACACATATATATTTATATTAACTTAAGAGAGAACCAGGAACTTTGGAGGAATAGAAGGAAAGGATTTCAACTTGTCATAAGTTCCCAACTCCCAAATAAAGACTGTTGATAAGAAGTCAGAAATTGGAGGAAATGAAGAAATATTACATGAGATCATTACTTCTCAACTGGACTCACCACTATTTTGTAATTTGGGCAAGTCAAAACCATTTTACTCTAGCTTCCTCATCTACTAAGTAGGCAGAAACTGCTAGTTGCCTCCCCAGAATTTATTTTCTCCTTTTTTCTTACTAAGGTAAGACAGAAATTGTTAGGACCAGCAATGTGCTCTGCTGAAAAATTAAATTTTTTCCAGCCTCTGTTGCAGATGGGTGGGCATGTAAATAAATTCTGCCCAATTAGATGTAAGGAGTTGTCAGTTGTGGATCTTGGGAAATGCAGGACTTTTCTCCTGACAGGAATAAGGCCATGATGGTCGGAACTGAAGTGGCCATCTTGTGATCATGAGGCCATCCTGAGATGGAAGCCATGCTAAGGATCACAAAGAAGAAAGACAGAGGGAGCCCTGGGCACTGAGTGCATTGATTGCATGACTAAGCTGCCATACCAGTCCTAACTTCTTTAATGTGAGAGAAAAAGGAAATGCCCCTCCTGTTGAAGCCACTGGATGTTTTAGATTGACAGCTGACTGTCAGTCTTAAATGATACCCCCACCTATAGGATTGTTGTGGGGATCCAAGAGACAGATGTGAAAACACAATAAATCACCAAAACTATTTTCAAAGGTATTTTGAAAACCTCCAAGTCCCACCTGAAAAGATGATTACTTCAGCATGAACAGACCATAGTTACAATCGCCTGCCTGACCTGTGAATGTGTCTGGTGAGGTGGTGGTTGTCTTGCTTTGGCTTAGAGGTCAGCAATAGTATTTTTTTCTATTCTCATTTCAGGAAAATTCAAGTTGCTGCATAACTTAGAATTAAGCATAATCTATTAAAGAATGTAATGCAAACAAAAAATAGTAAGTGATACAGGATGAAGAAAGATCACTCTAAAGGAAATCTGCTGTTTTTATTAATTTTGAAATATTTGTGGTTAGTTTTAAGCAAAAATGACTGAGAAGGAAAACTTTAAGAAGTTTATTTTTCCACTTCCAGAAACTATTTAGAGTTGCAATACAAACAGCATATATTCCTTATTAATATAATAAATCATTTATTTTGAATATAATATACACTAATGATTAATCACTGAAAAGAATTTAAACTTACTAGAGAAGTCAGTCCTTCATTATCGACAATCCAATCTTCCTTTTCAGCTAACCTCTTTACTTCTACAGGGAAAATAACCACACAAGTACTTTTTATTATAATTATCTCATTGAACTTTATAGAGATAGAAATCTATAAAAGTTATGGTTTTTAATAGTTTTATATAGGTTTATAATAAATTGGTGAAAGCAGGGACAGAATATAATTCTGGTAGACTCAAGGATTTAAACCTGTTTTGTTCACTAGATTTTTATAGCAAAACATTAATATAAATAAAATTTTTTACTGCATAGCCCAATTTGGATAATGCTAGGCTAGGTTTAATGACAACTTTAGACAATGAGTTTATTACTTTTTCAGCTCTCTTTATAATATTAAACATGTACAAAATAAGCTATACAAAATTTTTTTCCTAAAATTTCTGATGAACAACTTAGTCTCCGTTTTACTTTTTTTTTCTTTTCTTTTTTTTTTTTTTTTTTGGTGAGGAAGATTAGCCCTGAGCTAACATCCGTTGCCAATCCTCCTCTTTTTGCTGAGGAAGACTGTCACTGGACTAACATCCATGCCCCTCTTCCTCTATTTTATGTGGGATACCACCACAGCATGGCTTGATGAGTAGTGTGAAGGTCCACGCACAGGATCCAAACCTGTGAACCCTGGGCCACTGAAGCAGAGCAGGCGAACTTAACCACTATGCCACGGGGCCGGCCCCTAGATTCTGTTTCAATCCTGTACATTCCTAACGATGGCAGTATGACTCACTTGGCTAAAGGAATGCCGCCTGTCCCAGCCTTTGGCACTGCAGGCTGTCTCAGGTCCCTGAGCGGATGAGGTGATGAGTTTAGAGGACATGGCTCAGTTTCTCACCTGGATTCCACTCCCTTTCCATTACACAGTGTATCAGTCACCAATTCTGTATAGAGATGACCTTCCTACTTAAAATCCTGGTGCATCATTTATAACAATGTTCTTGATTGGTTTTGAATATATTTAGTACCCAAAAGGCTGCTTTGTAAAGATAACCTTTATTGTTTTTTATGATTGTATGTACAAAATCCTGAAAAATTCTAAAAAGTATAAAGAAAATGAGCATCACCTATAATTTCTACTACACAGAGAATTATTGTTGACAGTCTTTCTTCTGATTTTACATTGATATTTCTAAAATTTAAAAATACACATATATTTTCAAAATTGGGATCATGCTTTATATACATTTTTATATTCTACTTAACATTTGCCATAAGAATGTTCTTGTATCCCTAAATATTTTTCAAGTATATCCATCTTAACTTCTGCATGGTCTCGCATTTCAAGCAAATAGATTTGAAAAGATATCCAAAAAAGAAAAAAAAATTTCTATTGAGCAGCTCTAGATGATCTAAAATATTCATATTTCCGTAAGAGTAATTTCCTCTTTTCAAGGTTTGGAAGCTGGAAAGAGATGGCATACTCAGCTAACTGTTGTCTAGCAAATACATCAATTTTTCTTAACATACCTTCTGCTGTGTGTTGCAATGTAACCATCACACAACGTACTCGGAGATCCAAAATGAGATCCTGGATAGTCTGTAACATGTCATTAGGAATTTCGAGGGCAGTTAACGATTCATAAGTAAGCCTGTGAAACAAACACAACAAAACAAAGTGAGCACAGTGGGATCTTGAAGCAATTCCTGTCATCATTTTGGCCTATAAGGATCCATTATGAAACTTATAAGCTACAACATTATGTTGAAAACAAGGGGAAAGTAAGATCATAACAGGGATTATAATACAATACTAAATTAAACAATAAAAAAGATGCACATCCAGTATGACATTCTCATCAAACATAAGCACCAGAAAGGTGTAAGAGCTTAGCTGCTAGATGATCCATGGGAAAGAGTGGAGGCAAAAGACAGAGCAAAATTCTTTGTTGAATGTATTACAAATCATAGCCCATACTGAGGGGTTTTTTGTGTTTTTTTCCCCAAAAAGATTTTAAAAATTTACCCCTTTTCAGGAGAATGTGTCCACATTTACCTCATGGTCTGGATGACATGAGTCAGCCACTGTCCGGAGAGCTCAGACTTTACCTCCCAGCCTCCATACTGCCTCACTCCGCCCTCCGGGATGCTGAGTGGAAGCAGGGCTCCACGGATCAGCTTCACAAGACAGTGCATCACTTCCTGAATCATTTTCTAGACAATAACGAATAAGCAAAACTGCATTAAAAGTCATTAACTTGATTAAACCAACTAAAAGGAATCTGCCTGAACAATGGTGAGTATCTTGAATGTAGATAAAGTCTTGTAGTAACTTTGGTTGAGAAAACCCTACCCTATAAAAAAATCTACATACTTATCCTTAACTTACCTTAAAATCATTTTGTCTTTGCCTTACATTCTTTGATCTTTCAATCTGGCCTGACTTCTCAGCAGTCTTAAAAATCAAAAAAACATATTAGTTGTCTTTAGAAATGATTTATAAAAATAAGAAATGCTTTAGTGTTGTATATAAAGAAAGCATGAAATATGGTTATAACTTGATTAAAAGGAATGTGTAAGAAATAATCTAAGTTTCTGATTAAAGGATGACTAATTAGAAAACCTTTAATATTCCAACAGGAAGATATTCATCTTCCTAAAACCTTTAAGTACAATTCCCATAAATAAACCTAAGTATTAAGTTGAAACCATCTTTTTTTGTAGGTGAATTTCACATACTATTTTCATCAACAATTTTATATGATTAAACCTAAAAGCAGCATACCCAGAGTAACATTCTCAACATCACTTCTCATCAGCTAGTACAGAAATAAAAGGAAGAGTAAACTCTGGATTAATGTCTAGTAATCTTACAGCATTCATTCCATTCCCTTGACAAATGTTGAAGAATATAAACATTGTATCTGGCATTTTATTTTTAAAAAATGATAAATCACTGCTCTTCTCTCAGGGATTTTACAGTCTAATTTAGGAGAGAATATACTCTAGAATTCTAGAATTCATTTTTTATCTGTTTACTGATAGCAATGCTTTCCTCTGATATTTCTTTCTCCTTAAAGTACTGTGTGGAAGACTACCTTACACTGACTAAAAGAGAAATCTGTTCCATTGGATTTCAATTAACTTTTTATTACCAGATTTTCTAACAACTAAATATTATTATAGAAAATGCCCTAGAAAGGCAAGCTTAGGAAACTTTCCAAATAAAGAAGCAATAACAAAATGGTACAATGTAAAAGAAAACTCTAATACTTCATTAACATAACGCAAAAGTTATCCTTTAAAGTTAAAATACTCATGTATTATTGGTTAGAGACATGTCAAGAGAACTTTCAAGTTAAGAACCATTGCATGATAAGTGATGATGATATTGACTTTAAGTAACTCTAAAATACAAGTAATGTTATATATATTTTATGTATAATCTAGAGAAACAGTGTACAGAGTTGCTTTATATGATGAACATTATTGACAGGACTGAGCAAAAGAAGGGTAAGGATGGCTGAATATTTTCAACAAAAATATCGGACCTACTTGATAAGAAGTGGTCAACACACACAGATACATACCTCTTCAGGCTCTTATTTACACTTATTTTAAAATTTTATATTAAACTGTGCAGGTTTTATCATTGTTTTCTTTGTAGAAATGCACTTTTGCTTTGAAAGAAAGTTTAGTTTTTGAATAAACTAAACCCAAAATTCACCTCAATAATAATTCAATAAGCAAATTCCTAAGTTGACTGACCAACAACACTCAAAATTCTTTGTATACCAGGATTTAACTCAGAAATTGATGACTTTGTCCCTTTATTTTTAAGACAATGAGAAGTAACTGAAGTGTTTAATGGCTGCAGTGAGAAGTGACTAGAGGGCCCCATGTCAGAAGAAGGACCAGCTGGAAGGATGCTGCTCTAACCTAGGTGAGCAGTGGCCATGTCTTAGACTAAGGAGGTGGATGGATGGACCCAGAGGACAGCTTCAACACAGGTTTCCGAGGTAGAAGGCACTGAACCTGGTGATTCCACTGGCTGTTTCCGTGAGAAAGAGGAGATGTCAAGAGTGACTCCTACCCAAGTCACAACCACTCAGGTACGTCCAAATGGCCCTGAGTGTCTGTCAGCCTACTTCCTGTTTCTCCAAAGTGTGACGCTCTGATTCAGAATAACACTTCTGGTGATACAGCGGGCTAGGTGTAGAAAAGCAAATGAAAGGCCCTGCTTACTGAGGTCATAAATACTATTCTCTAAATGCTGCCGTTTGTCAGCTCTTAGTTTTAGGCACCTTTTTTCTTTTTTCTCTATACTTTGTCACTAATTTTTCTCATGGCTTCAAATATCATTTCTATCTAATGCCTTCCTATTTTGGGTTTTGCATCCAATTCCAACTTGTGTGTTGGGCGGGGCTTCCCCACATCAACAAGCAATTCTCCAGCTGGGTGTCCTCCAATTCAACTCAGTTCTGACACTATCTACCTGGAGACTACAGGTAGACTAACCTACATCAGATCCGTAGGTTAAGGGCTCAGTTCTACGAGACTGCCCACCCGTCCCCCCCCAGACACATCTCAGATGATCTCAAGCCCAGGTTGTCACCTCTCTGACTGTCACAATCTGACTGGCTAGAGACTGGAAGTTCCCACATACCCCCTCCTTGGGTCCAATTAATTTGTTAGAGCAGCTCACAGAACTGAGGAAACCCATTCACTCACTAGACTACCAGTTTATTATAAAAGGGTGTAACTTAGGAACACCCAGACAGCAAAGATACATATGGCAGGGTATGGGGCAAGGGTGCGGAGCTTCCATGCCCTCTCCAGGGTGTCACTCTCCCAGAACAGCCATGTTTTGACCAACCCAGAAGCTCGCTGAACTCCATCATTTGGGTTTTTATGGAGACTTCATCACATAGGCATGATTGATTAAATCATTGGCCATTGGCGACTGAACTCAATCTCCAGCCCGTCTCCCCTCCCCAGAGGAATAGGGGTGGGACTCAAAGTTCCAATCCTCTAATCTAATCCTGGTTTTCCTGGCAACCAGCCCTGTCCTTAGGTGGAGATAAAAGCCACCTCATTAACATAACAAAAGACAGCTTCTACCACCTCCTCACTTAGGAAATTCCAAGGGTTTTAGGAGCTCTGTCCCAGAAACTGAGATGAAGACCAAATATACATTTCTTATTATAAATCACAATATCACACTTCTAAATTTATATTTCCAGCCCACATCTTTCCTCTGAGACCCAGATTTGAATTTCAGATTGCCTACTTAATGTCTCTTCTTGAATAACTCACAGGAATCTCTCAAATCCAACACATTAAAAATGGAAAACTGATATTTTCATCCAAGAATGTTCTTCCTTGAGTCTTTGTAAATAGCACACCTACTCACTTGGGAGCCCACTTGGGAACCATATCTGAATCCTTGTCCTCATCTCCCTTCTCTGATCTATCAGCAAACTGGGCCAACACTACTTCCAAAATACAAATGAAACCTATCATTTTCTCTCCAACTCCTCTGACAAAACCTTAATCCAACCACCCTCGTTTCCTGCCTGGAGAGCCTCCACAGCTTCCCCACTTTGACTTTGGTTGCCTTCTAGTTCATTCTTGAATGAAACTGCAAACGTGGTCAGATTACTCCACCACTTGGAAGCCTTCCATGGCTCCCACCCACTTGGAGTACAAACTCCTCACCATGGTCTGTAAGCAGGTCTGCCAGCTAGCCCCCGCCCGCTCCTCTACCCTCATCTCTTGTTTCTCCTGATGCCCTCACCCCCTGGCTCAGCATCCTTGGATGCTGTGACTTTCTGTTTTCAAACATACCAAGCTCTTCTCCTCAGCTTTGTGCATGCCACCCTCTCTACCTAGTACCTTCTTCCCTTGATCCTTTGTGGGGCCATTTCCTCCTCATACTTCAATGTCATCTCCACAGAGAGACTTTCCCTGACCTCCATCCCACTACTGAGAGCCTATCTTAGGACCCTATTTGTTTGTTTTATACCTGTTACCGGAATTTAGGATAATTTTTTTTTAATTTATTTTGGTTCTGTCTCTCCAGGAGGAGAGAGATCATGTTTATCTTGGTCACTATTTTACTTATATTGTATACATGCATTTTAAAATTTACATGTGTGTGTACCTGTGCGCGTACAACAGTACCTGCCACATAGAGGCTATTCAGGGTATTCAACAAACATTTGGTGAATGAACAATCACCTAGGGTTCTGGTTCCTCAGGACGTCCTGGAATATAGTTCAGAAAGCATGAGGGCCCTGAAGACCACTAGGTTAATCTGAAGGCCTTCTTTAAAAAACCTGAAGTCTTGGGTCTCCACCTAGAAACTGGCCCCTTTGAAGGAGATCTGCCAGGTTCAACCCTGTGACATGTTCCAGAAAAGGCCAACAGACAGTGCTTCTCCTAGAGATTTCAGATGTCAACAAAAGGGGCCAGCAGAGCTTTAAGAATTTTGCATAAATGTTGGAAGTTGGGAGGACTGTTGTAGGTTGGAATTCAGATGCTGCCGAGGAACCTAGCACCTACTGTGATATGAGGAGGCACAGAATGAAACTGGAATCCTTTATGTGAAATCAGTGTTAAGGATCTTGTGATGGTTAATTCTGTGTGTCAATCTGACTGGGCCATAGGGTGGCCAGATAATTGGTTAAACATATGTTATAATGTTTATATTCTGGGTGTGCCTGTGAAGGTGTTTCTGGATGAGACGAACATTTGAATTGGTAGGCTGAGGAAAGCAGACTGCCCTTCTTAATGTGGGGGGGTCCCATCCCATCAGCAGAAGGCCTGAATAGAACAAAAGGGAAAAGGCTGACTCTCCTTGGACTAAGGGAGAACTCCTGTTTGACTGCCTCGAGCTGGGAAATTGGTCTTTTTCAGCCTTCAGACTGAAACAGAGGCACTTCCTGGGTCTCGAGTCTGTTAACTGCAGATCTTGGCACTTGTTAACCTCCATAATTACATGAGCCAATTCCTTACAGAAAATCTCTTTCTCTTTATACATATGTATACGTTGTCCCATATACCATAGGACGTTGGTTCTGTTTCTCTGAACCCTGATTAATACAGATTTGATTTAGTGTGCTGTGATGGAAGGGATGGGACTCTGAAAGACTCTGAAGACTCTGAAAGACTCTGAAAGGCATAATTTGTGTCAACGAAGGGTCATGCCAGTATAAAACTGTAGGGATCCTGACTGTCAGGTAGCGTCTTTTCTAGCAGTCTCCACCTCAGTACCTAATACTGAACTTTTTGTATAATGGGCTTCTTCAAGGAGAAGATTATTTCATAGTCCTTTGTTATGTGAAATATTTTTAAATCAAAGAAAAGAGTAGAAATCAATTGTTAAAAAAAATCATATCCAAAGTAAGGCTAAATTTTGCCAGAACCAATTTTGCCCACCTAACAGGTGCTAATGAACGCATGATGACATCTACTGGACAGAATAATTTTGTAAACTTCAAGGACCTGTCTCCAAACACATGAAGCAGGGAAACTAGTTGTAAGGCACACCTCTTGCAATTGTTAATTAAAGCAATAGTTACTTATTGTTTTAATTTTATGAAGAGTTGAACACCTCCAACATATTGAATTATGTAAGGTTTGCCCTATTTTTAAAAGAAAATTCAATTTTGGAACATAAAGTGCATTTTAATTTACATACTATGAGTTACACAACTTTTTAAAATGCTAATTCCTAATGTTTAAAAATATTTGAATGCTTTAAAAATTTTCACCCCAAAATACACCATATTTAAAATATATCTAAAGGTGAGATCTTAACCTACCATTAGCCATATCGTTAACTAAAAACCTTAACTCCTTCCTGCACACACAGACCAAAACTCCTTTGTGGTGAGACCAACGGCTACATTTCACTGCTTTGATTCACATGTGTTACTTCACACAGGCTGGACTGGTTTGAAGAACTGACTATTTTTTAAACTGTTGGAAACTCCATCTAAATCTTTAACGGATGGGCTCTTAATAAAACAAAATAGTTCTGTAACAAGAAAAATAAGAAATTTCAAGTATATTGTGTTTAAATATTACAGAACTTGCTTATATGAGATTAAATACCCACCATCAAAAGCCTTGGAGCTCTTCCCAGCATCCACTTCATTAGGTTTCTGGGTCTCACTCAGAGCTGACAGGGCCGGGCACTTTCCTAACTGCTCCCTGCCTTTCTACCGCCCTTGCTGTCTCTCTTGTCTTTCAATGGAGGCTAAATAGTTTAAAACATGCCAAAATCTGTAAATTATATTTAGTTAATAATTACAACTATAAACTTTTAAGAAAGTTTATAATTATAAATAGGTAGAAATACCACAGGCAAATCCAACTCAGTACAACTAATTAAAATTACTATTCAGTGCTAATGTTGTTCCTAAGTTCTGAAGTAGCTCAATTATTTTTCATCTGCAACAAAATATTTCATTTACATTTTTACCACAACTAGGTATAACCTGTAAGGAAGGAAAATACATTCCCTCTTCACTAAAGCATCCCAGGTCAAAAACTCTTAGGAATTTTACTAATTCTAAAAAGACTCAAGACAAGGCAGCTACTGTCCATGTGTGGTGGGCCACCTATAGGAGCCAATCCAACTGAAAGGGAGAAACACATGGCTGGAAAGAAATAACTAGGTTTAAAACGCATTTTCCTTGGGACTAGTCTTTAGATGAGTGGATTTACCCCGACGTGACTCAGCACCACTCCCGTCGCTCACCAGTCCAGCATTTCTTAATGCTACTGCACTAGGTTCACTGACACCTGTTGTGCCAGGCCAGTAAGATTTCAAATCCTGAAATAAATATTTATTCCAAATAATACGAGCAAATTCTTACTTCTCTGGCTGCCAGACTCTGTTATAAGCACTTCACTCATGTTAACTCATTTAATTCTCAAACCAGCCCTAGGGAAGTAGGCACAGAGAAGTCAAGTTACTTGCCTAAGGTCACAGCTAGTAAGTGACAGATATTAGCTGTTTCTATTATAACACTAGTTGGTGTTCTGTAAGAAAAGCTGTGAACGCTATCTGTTCAAGGCACCGACACAGAAGCATCTAAGCTTTCCAAGCCTCATGAGGGATCTGGTTAGAGATGGAGCAGATAAGAAGAGGAAGTTATGAGCCAATATGAATATGAGTGGTGCGCTGTCCCCCACTGTGGCAGAGGGCAAGAAACCCAAACCTGTCATCAGCACCATGACCCACACAACTCGCTTTCCGCTGAGATGAATAAAAATGCGAATTGATGGGGACATGTTTGAAAGCAGAACACTGAGAAAACTTTTTTCACAACACCTGAATAACTGAAGTTAAAGTATTCTCTTCCTCAGCCAGCATAATAAGCAACTTTGCATTTATGAAGGCCAGCCAAACTCTACATTTATTTTATGGAAGACTGACTTTCTCTATACAGTTAACTTTTCAATAGACCTTTCTATAACCAAGTGATACAGAAAGGACATAAGGAAGTTGTGACACACATTATTTATTGCTATAATATTTGAATGTTCACTTATAAAGTACATTCATTGGCCACATAACGATGTTTCGGTCAAAGACAGACCATATAGACGACGGTGGTCCCATAAGATTAGTACCATACAGCCTAGGTGTGTAGTAGACTATACCATCCAGGTTTGTGTAGGTACACTGTGATGTTTGCACAATGACGAAATCGCCTAACTACGCATTTCTCAGAACGCATCCCCGTCGTTAAGCGACACATGACTGCATAGTGACAGGTACACTGCTGAAATTAAAGTAAGGAAAAAATAGTAATAACTCATGCTTAAGAGATCGGTTTTCTGCACTAAGGAGTTTGTTTTTCCATGCACTATCATTTTTCTGTCTTTCATGCACTAAGTAAATTTTATGCTTTAGATAACTAACCATTCACATAAACAGGGATCTAAGGATCTACTAGGTTTAAAAGAAAAAAGATAGTAAGCAAATAAGAATTAAATATACAGAGGAAAAAAAAAAACAACTCCAGAGAACAGCTCTACTCCTCTGATAGCTGTGTAAAATGTCTGTCCACAGTCAAATGAGACTGGACAGACGGACTCCAGGAGTACCAAGACACCCAGCCACTTTCCACCAAGGAGGTTAGGTCTTGAACCACAAAGGTGTGCCTTGCTGCAAAAAAGCAAAAACAGTTTAACCCTTTTTCACATTCACTTTCTGTGTTGACAAGTGCAAAAGATGCAGGAAATAGCCTTTACCCTCAGGAAGATCCCTACCTCTCCCAGCTCTATCAGGGCTGTAAAGAGTTCTCTGTGTAGACACGAAACCAGAGCTGTCTTCCCATGGTACAGTGTGGGGGCTTCCCTGGCAGCTTGAGGATAAGAGCACTAGAGTCTATACTCCAGGACCTGGGGGCCTTTCATGGGGCACTAAAGTGAGACTATAGAGTGATGAGGCTGAGTTCCATGTGCTACACACAAAAGTAAGAGTCATTACTTGATGTTCATAATTTCTATGCCACCAATTATATTATGATTAAGACGCTAAGTAGGGCCGGTCCCGTGGCTTAGCGGTTGAGTGCACGTGCTCCGCTGCTGGCGGCCCGGGTTCGGATCCCGAGCGCGCACCGACGCACCGCTTCTCCGGCCATGCTGAGGCCGCGTCCCACGTACAGCAACTAGAAGGATGTGCAGCTATGACGTACAACTATCTACTGTGGCTTTGGGGGGAAAAAAATAAATAAATAATACTTATAAAAAAAAAAAGACACTAAGTAAATGTGTGACCTGTGAAAATGTGAAGGCTTATAACCACTTCTATAGGCTGATCATACAGGGGATAGAAAACAGCATCTTTAAGTTATTTCCAACTAAGAAATTCTGTAATGATATGGATTTATTTCAGACCCGTGTACAAGCTGCAAACATTTTATTCTTGTTTCATCATTTGTTCATAGTCAACTACACAATAACTTCATCCATAATTTGGCCTGACTGGCATTATAGTCGATTCAGAATCCTTGAAAATATTTCAAGTTTCTTTTTTTCTTTGACTATCTCATTTAATCCTCACAACCACCTTTTGAGATAGGTACACTTGTATTCTCTTTACACAGTTGAGGATACTGAGTCCCAGAACAATTAAGTAACTTGTTCAAGGTCATAGAACTATTAAGTGATAGAGCTTTATAGCAGTTTTAACTAATCTTAAAATATCTGACAATAGTTATAGCTTTGGGCCTCCAAGGTTTTAAAAAAGTCACTGCAAAAGGTAAAATTTTTAAGACTAGAAATTCACAATGACTTAGCTACTACATCTATAGTTAAATTTGTATACATACCTCACTGAAAAGGCTTCCATTAACATATGAAATCCAGAGTTTCCAGAAGTTAGGCAGCTGACTTAAAACAAGCTTGGTCAATTTTTCAACAAATGCCACCCGGTGGGGAGTTTTGTACCTCCATGCTAAGGGGGAGAAAGAATAAAATACTATAAATACACTCTTTAATCAGGAATAGAAACCTGTTTGAACATATTGCTGCTCCACCACCTAAAAATGTGTCCCACTCTGGCTGCAGAGCTTTAATTTGCTGATAGACCAATATTTCCTTTTTCACATCATACTACCAACACCTGCCAGCACAGAGAATACACGTTAAGCAGAGGTCCCTGCTTTCCTCCATGGGGACGGGCAGACGGGTCAGGAAGGCACAGCAGCAGAAGTGGGGAGGACTACATTGAGGGGGATGCTTTTGGCTTTTCAACCTTGTTGTCTTCAGGATGTTATACTTCTCTTCAAAAAGTCATGCCTTCAGACAGCAAAGTAAGGCAAAGGAAGGGTTGCCCTGCCCCCATAATTAAATGGAAGGCCACTATCAACCTGTTAGAAATGCCAGTATGCATCCTACGTGGTAAAAATTCAGTGAGGAATCAAGTTATCATAAAGGAACATATTCAAGCACAATCATGTAATGAATAACTCTTCCCATAACAAAGAAATTTGAGAAAAAATAAAAATATTGAAGCCTCTTGGGTTACATATCATTTAATGAAGTTATTATAGTAAGTGGGAAATAAGTTCGTAAGGGTTTCTCACGGGAAGAATAAGTTCATAGGAATAAACACAAATGCAGTAGTTCAGTGAACATCAGTCATGTTCCAGCCTATTCCTTCTCCATCGCACTCTTTCCTGTTCCACTGCCCTCCATGCCCCACTTCCTGGCCCTGCTGTTCTGCTTCACAGCCTCCAGCAGGAGCAGGGCAGAGGCATCCCCACTGTCCAGTTTCACAGCAATGATCAGGACACTTCCAGGGTCAACCTTCTGACTTCTATTCAGCAACTTCAAAGACTGGTCAGGGGAGGGGACTTTCATTAACTCCTTCATCAACTACCAGCTTCCCTTTAAAATACTCCTAGGCAGAAAGTTTTATTGCTATTATTATTGTCATTATTATAGTGGGGGAAGGGTGGATTTTATTTATTCTAAAATGTTTAATAATTTTCTAAATAGACAATGTCTGGTTAGAAAAGAAAACTTAAAAAGTGTACAGTGAAAAGTCTACCTTCCACCCTCATGCCCCATTGCCCAGTTCCCAGCTCCAGCCCTAAGAAACCACTGTTATCAGTTTCTTGTGACTCTTTCTGAAATGTCTTTTATATACACAAGTAAATATAAACATGTATTCTCCCCCCACCCAAATGCTGTGTTACACAAATGAAAGCATACTAAACACAGTCTTCTGACTCTTGGCTTTTTTTCTTTTAACAATGGATCCTGGAGTTCTTCCATATTCATACATAAAATGATTCCTCTTTTTCTCCCCACAGTTACATAGGAGTTCATACTGTGAAGGTATCATAATTTAACAAGTTTCCTTGTAATAGACAAGACCGTTTCCAATCTTTTGCAGCTAAAAATAATGCTTCAAACAATAACCTTGTACCTACATCATTTAGCACATGTGCAAATAAAAGTGTAGGATAAATTCTCAGAACAGGAAGTGCTGGGTCCAAGAGTACATGGAGGTGCAGTTTTGATAGGTATGATTAAATTGACCTCCACAGGGCTTCTTTACACACCCACCAGCAATACATGGAAGTGGCAGCTTCCTTATAACCTCACCAATGAACAAACCAAATACACAAAACCCAAAACAACAAACACCTGGGGTTTTTGCCAAACTGATATCTCATTGTAGTGTTATACTGCCTTTTTAATTTTTATTATGAGTGAGGCTGAGTACCTAAGTATCTATTCATATGCTTAAGAGCCACTCAGGCTTCCTTTCTGCAGCCTGTAGAGCCTCTTTATTTATGAGGCATATTAGCCCTTTGTCTATGTTATGCGCTGTGGAAAAGCTTTAAATTCAGCTGTGACATATGTGAAAGGCATGGTTCTTCATTGAGGGGCACACTGTTAACCTGTACTTGGTCATTCAGCCACTATTTATTGAGTGTCCACTGCGTGCTAATCCTGCGGCTGTACCCCAAGTCCTGTCTATGGTCCTCACCACTCACACTGAACAGGGCAGGTCGCCATCTCACAGAGCCTATGGCTGAGCGGACAGCCAATGAGGGGAGGCCCAATCGCATATGACATGAGTCTCACGAGATGTTTCATCTGGAGACAGAGCTGAAACAGACAAACTAAATACAGATACATACTAACTGTTTTCCAAATAGCAGACAGCACACTACACAGTGTAAGCCCCAGCCTGGTATGTCGTAGGCCAATGACAAGGTAAGAAATAGGACAAGAAAACCTAAAAACTGAAGCATTGAAAGACCCGCCTCATATGGTAGCAAGCAGACTCTTACATTGTATCTTCCCCAAAATTAGTGTTTCAAAAGATCTGAGCTCCTCCTTGCAGCTATACTGACCATTATTTTGTATACCCCTATTGTGAGAAACTCATCTGGTGTCCTTATGTCACAGATTCTTTGCAGGGCTTGTTTTCTAGGAAATTAAAGTAAAAGCAACATAAGCTAAACCCAAGTCCTCGTTGGCTCTGAAGTTGGACAATCTCTTTGTGTGGTCTGGCCTAGCTTACCACACATCCATGTATTCCACACACACACATATTCTACATACACAGACCACTTGGTCTCAAAGATCAGTCTGTCATGGAGAATGCCTCTATTCCAAAGAAAAATACGGGATACTGCCTTTTCACCAATTTAAAAGAAAAATCCTTTTTAAAAACCACAAAATAAAGTAAACTCAGCTTCTCTCTTGTTAAATCCATTAATTAATAAGTATTCTAATTGAAATGATTTTATAATAGGGAAAGTATTTGGACAGTTATAAATAAAAACATAACAAACCAACTCCAAAAGTCTTCCAAAAAGATTCCTTCAGCTGAATCTTTTTATGGCAGATTAATCGGTAAAATTATTTTGTCTGAGTTCACCATAGTATGGAGCGTTAATGTAGCTGCTAAACAGCATCGCCAGACAATCACTCTAAGCTGGAAGTCCTGCAATTACTCAAATGTGCTGGCACTCAATCTTCAAGGTTCTTGAAAAACAGACAGGTTACTGTAGCCTCCTGCTCAATGGTAGAGAACACTTCTTAGTTTGTGTTTCATTTGATCTTTCTATTATTAGCACATTCTTTATCCCTATCTATGTATGTATGTAATTAGAGTCCTTTTCCCCCATTCCTTCTAAGTCTAATTCATCCAAATTCTGATAATTATAATTGAAAAATCACTTTGGATTTTCTTTTTTACCGAATCCAACATGTCCTAGTTAAATTCGCACATGTTGTATCACCCACAGAAAAACTTCAAGAGTTATTTCCTAAGACTGACGAAAAGAACTAAGAGGATATGGCAAAAATGTCCAATTTTTTTTGATGAAAATCATAAAGTATGTAGTCTCATAAATTTTGCTTTGATCACAAAGTCGAGAATGAGCTTCCTCAACTTTATTCATTCATACCGATTGTTTACTGAAAGCAATCCTTCATGATGTTCCAATTTCAAGTAATAATTTTAGGGAAATTAAACTTGAATTATTTTACTTCTACTTCTAGCCATGCTAGAAGGACTGGATTTGACCTCTGGTCACAAAGAACTAGAAAACTGGGAGAAAAAATATATATAAAAACAACTGTTTTCACACATTGGACAACAGGTGGTACAGGACTGTGACCCCTAAGGGAAGGGACACATGTGCTGAGCCCACCATTGCCCTGGCTTAAGCCCTGCAGACAGTTTCTAGACAACAGAGGCAAAGGGAAGAGGAACCTAAACAAACCTCATTGGCCATTCTGAGTTGGAAAGATGGAGTTCAGGGAGGCGAAGGTGAAGGGAAAATACAGGGAAAAGCCCCGAGAGGAGGGAGGAGCTACACAGAAAACCAGCTCCAAAAATCTGCATAAGAGTCTGAAGTCTTTGCTGAGTACTAGGTCATGCACACATAGAGTGAAACTTCACAAAGCCAGACAAAGAACAATCAGGGAACTGTAAAGCCAACAATTCCCAGAGATCACACAGGGCAGGGAGACCTTCTAGCTCTGAAGAGCTGGAGGGAATACTCCCCATCAGTTACCTGGGCCATTCAGTAGAGACCCAAGAGATCATGTCTCAGCAGTGGGGCTGAAGTATCCCTAGAACAAAGGCTACTCTAAACACCTTCTTTAGCAAACTCAACAACCAGCCTTGAATGGATCAAATTTATCTGTGAGTAACTGATAAAACACAGTTTAGCAGTCTCTAAAGGAAGACAACCAAACCCAGACACTCAACAATGAACATCCACAGTGTCTAGGAAACAATTAAAAATGATAAGCCATGCCAAAAGGCAGAGAAATGTGAATCATAACCAGGAAGCAGAAGAAAAATTACTCAATAGTAACAAATCCAAAAATGACACAGATGACAGAATTAACCAATAAGGACAATGTTCCAATATTTAAAGGAAAACATGAAAATAATGAGGAGAGAAAGGGAAGATACTTAACCAAATGGAACTTCTAGAGATGAAAATTACAGTAACTGAAATTTTTAGGTTAGACACTGCAGATTAAAGATCAGAGTAGTTGAAAGCATAGCAGTTGACCCTATAATGAAGCACAGAGTGGAAAAAGTGGGGGAGAGGGTACAGAGCCTCAGTTATCTATGGGATAATATACTAGCCTAACATACAAGTAATTGGAGTCCCAGAAAAGGAAGCAGAACAGAAAAATATTTGAGAAAATTATGGCCAAAAATTTTCCAAAGTTGATGAAAATTTTTAGAATTTGATCAAATAAATCCAAGAAGCTGGACAAAAACCCCCAAAGGATAAATTTCAAGTAAGATGATATAATTCATTACACTCAGCCTCAAATATAATTTCTAACTGATTTAAGCTAACCTGTTAGCAGGTCAACTGGTGGTAGTGAATTACATAAGGATGGGGAAGAGTGAGGTGGAGGGTTTTTAGACCTGATGTTATTATCCTACTAATTAAACGAAGGAAGTATTTTTTAAAAACTCAGGTGGGCTGCACTCCAGGGTCAGACCCTGGCTCTATTTGCTTAGAGGGCTACACTGTATCACAGTGTGCAGAAACAAATAGTGCTGTTCTTTCATTATTTATACCAGCGTTTGCTGGGCTGGGTGGGGAATGGGTTTGGACAAGAAGAAGGAATACTGACAGTTACGGTAGCCCTTCATTTAGTACAAATGAATCATCTAATTTTAAGGTGTTCTTATGATGGACCTTCATTCATACTTATTAATGAAACCTTAGAAAAATTCCCTACTCTACTGCTTGTAAGAATAATATAAAATACTTTAAAGTAAACTTTAGAGGTATTTGAATTTAATATAAAGTAAGGTATTTCTGTTATCTTATTTAGATTTCTTATATGTGTTACTGAGGTTACAAATAACCAGTGACTAACAGCATCGAATTGGTACATGAATGCATTATATCCATTTTATACTTCATATGGGTAAATAAACAATAGGTAAATATCAACTTTAGAAAGTTAAGAAATGTAACAGTTACGATATGAGATGCTTTATCTCAGGAAAAATGATTAGCAATTAACTTATGATTAATTAACAACCAACCCTTCTTTTCAAACGGAATTTTAAAATTCATTAAAAAGGTGTCTATTTCTCTGACTAGTACTGACTACAAAAATTACTTTTGTTGCAAATTTCATCTTAAAGATGTTCTCACAGAATTTTTTCTGTGGTATACTTTAAAAAATTCAACCACAAAAAAAATGAAACTAGACTTTAATTAAGTATGTTAAATAAACACTGACCTGTGCCCAATGACTTATTAAAAAATCAAATAGCATTTCTTTAATGTACAATGGAAAACGCATTTTAATTATTTAAATATAATTACTGGGTAGTTAATAAGTAGAAGAGATGATGGTTGGTAATACTTAGAAGCAGTAACACAACTAATTATGGAATTTTCCAAGAGAAAATGTTCGAAATTATACAAATACAAATTTAAAAGACAAAGTGGGGATAGAGATACTTACTATCATCTCGACCAGACTGAAAGCTGCTGCCCCGCTTCAGTGATGCTGTCTGACTGAGATGACTCAACACTGAGGGACGCACATCGTTATCCAGATCCATCATGGGACTGTGAAGGCCTGGAGTACCTGGAAGACAGAGGCGACATTTCCATATATTGTACATGTTCTTATTTAGTTGATCTAATGGACTATTTCTCTGAGTTATTTCTTGCTCAATTGTTCCATTCTTTTAACTAAATCATTTACTAAGTAAAATCAAAAATATCTTCTCTGAATAGCTTTTAAAAGTCATTCCTACATCTTCTTTATCCATTCATCTGTTGATGGGCACTTAGGTTGCTTCCAAGCCTTGGCTATTGTGAATAATGCTGCAAAGGTTACCAGACGGGAAGGGGGTGGCGGGAGGGCAAAGGGTTAAAAGGGCACATATGTATGGTGACAGATGGAAACTAGACTTTTGGTGGTGAAGAAAATGCAGTCTATACAGAAGTTGAAATATAATGATGTACACCTGAAATTTATATAATGTTAGAAACCAATGTGACCTCAACAAGATAAATTTTTAAAAATTTAAAAGAAAAAAAGAAGGAAACTCATCCCATCAAGCAAAAAGAAAAGTCATTCATTCTCACCATGACAGATTTGGAGGATTCAATCCATTACTTTAGCTTAATATACAGATGTAACAAACCGTGGAGAGAAACTTATGTATCATTTTAGAATGAATGTTAGGCAAAACCGGGAGAGTGGCGGTGACGGTGGGGTGGGGGGTTTCTATAAACATAAAAATCAGGATGAGATCATTTTTTGAAAAACAACTTGGCCCTTGGAAACAAAGTCATGGAGTCCTGACTCTCTTTCAGTGGCGCACACTTGTAGCATAAATCTTTGACTTCTCCCTTAAAATTTAAATCCCCCAAAATCCCACAACTTCTTTCTTTGGGATATGGGATTTGATTCCCTATTTCTATTCCATATGCCAGCCACCCAGTTTGGATCCTTTTCACCTCACACTGTTAATATTCCAGAAGCCTAACATTTCAAGAAATTCTCTCTTTATCGTCCTGAGTTAATATTATTGAAATATTGCTTTAATTCTTTTCTCAGAAGTCTTCCAGAAAACTCTCAGAATTTGAACCTAATTACCCTAAGAACCAGGAAACATTTTTTCTAAAATGGATCTCAAGATCTATTAGGAATGGAATCCTATGCCGCTAAACGAGTTAATAATAAGTCGTTGGCTTTAAATGCTAAAATTTGCCTTTTACAGGCGCCTGTAACCACTACTCTGAGCCCTTTAGCTGAGCATTCAAAGATCTTCAAAACTGAATTCAATAAACATTTACAGAGTATTTACCATGCATAGGACACTTAAATATTCTCCCTATGAAAATGCATCTTACATTTTCCTGCCTTACTTCCTATCCTTTCTACCTGAAAGGCCTTACTCACCACCTTCTCTATCCACTTAAACGCTCCTTAAAAATGCAACTTAAATTACAGCTACTCCATGAAGTCACCTCTTACTATTCCAGCTCAAAGTGTTATCTCTCTTCCCTCCGACAGCAGTTAAAATGTACATAATTTAGTTGACTTGAATTCTACCTTCTGTTGTTCATTTACAGTTAAGTATCGCCCATCTCCAAATCAGAATACCATCTTCTCAGGGATAAGGATTAAATATTACATCTCTGTCCACAGTCACTGGACCTTCTGCAAATAACTCCCTCAATATATTGAGTGACTGACATTAAATTATTTAATAAGAACTTTATTCCTTATTTTATAACTTAGTAGAATATTAAAAGCTTATAGATTTGTTTTCAGGTGCAAAAGATAAAACACATTTATAAAATAATAATTTTATGCCACTGATAATGTGAGGTATTCAATAACATTGAACATGTATTTATTCAGCATCTCTTATGTACCAGGAACTGCAGGCCCTGGGGATAAGGTGATGAATAGGTAAGACCTTGCTCTCAAGGGGTTTACACTCTGGTGGTGGAGGCAGAAAATAAAGGAATAAATATAGTAAAAAGTGCTATGGAGAGCCTGCTTTCATGGCCTCCTCCTATCAGGAGCCACTCAACATGACACAATATGAGCTGTCTCCTTGTATCCTCACAAATTCTACCAGGTAAGTTTTATAGAAACAGAAATTAAATCATTTGAATAGATTTCTTAGTGGGAAAGAATTTTACTGAACAGTTACTGTGTTTGAACTACTGTGCTAAATGCCTTATTTACACACATTTCTACTTTGGAAAACATTATGTCTAAGATAAGAAGTATAATTCAATATTTCAAAATGACAAAGTAAATGATATATGATACAGAGTAAGAAAATATAGTGAAGAAATAATATTTTTTATAACTGATTTTTTTCACATTAAAGAGGAAGTTGTGGAAGCTTTAATGATTTATGACATTTTCCTTTGAAAAGTTTAGATAGTGGCCACTGCTATGAATTATAGAATTCAGGAAATTCAAAATACCAATTTCTGACATACTTTAATAGGAAACATAAAGGGGCCCAAACTTAACATAACATTAAATATTTATAATAAAAATTTATAATTTATATAAAAAGGTGCAAGAAGAGAATGCTTTAATTTAAAATGTTACAGGTTACTCTTGAAGGTTTCAGGACTATAAATTTTTGATTAAGAAGGAAAACACTTCCTCGTTTCCTAAAAATATATATCATTCCTATAAAAACACAATTATCATTGTTTAAGTAGATCCTCAGAAAAAGTTTTTCCCCATACATTGTGTTTACAACTTTAATTTAAATGGTTTAAGATTAAGTCATTTATGTGGTTTAATTTAAGTAAATCTTGAATTTTGAAACTGTCAGAAGATTGATTTTTCTTTCCTTTTAGTAACAGAAATTGTATTGAGAATATGCTTTTCTTCTCCTAGAAACCATATCACCATTTTCTGTGATATCAGGAAAAGAAAGTTTAACATGAACTAATTTCTTAATTGGTAGTGTCGAATTACCAGCAAGTATACTGCAGCAGCAGGGAGCTAAAAGAGCACATACACTCTCAGGACTAACCAGCATCTGGAACACATCTGTAAGATGCATTTCTGCTGAGGGACCAGAAGATGGCGCCTCCGCACTGCACACAAAGACACAGCCCCACAAACTGAACAGTGGGCATCAACTCAGAAATGCATTTCTCCTCCTGACATTCTGCTCCTTTTTTCTGTGAAAGAAAAGTCTTACGATGAGTTATTTTACATAGAATTAGAAGGATTATCCTTTGAAGAGAAAATTAACTAAAAACATCTTAAATCTCAGTTGTCAGAAATCATTTACTATCAAGTGTCGGAAAAAATACCTGGAGGATTCTGACACTCCTTTTAAACTTCAATTATATGACTTGGCACTTATACCCCACAAAATTATTACAAGTATGAAGTGGTTCTGATAATAAGTAAGCATTACTATAAAAGAACAAAAAAAGATGAAAAAAACAATTTCTGTAACATATAAAATCAGCAAAAGGTTTTAAAATATCTTACAAGAAATCAGTTTATTTTCTCTTGATTCTTTTACCTCACAATATGACAGCAATATCTCCTGATGTGTTTCAGAGAAATATATACATTATATAATACATACGGTTATAAATGAGAATAATTAGGAAATTTCATAATGTCATGCTCTGATCTACACGCAGATCATGAGCAACTGAAACCATGTTACTTAGTCAATTTTCCCTGAAAACCTCAAGTACCTGCCCCTGATAGCCACCTGAGGGTGGTGTTCAACTGTATCCTTCAATTTCAGGTTTTCACTAGAACATTAGCTTGCAATAGGACATTTTGCAGGTGACAGAGACTAAAGGTTTTGTAAAATTGTGTTTGTCTTTTTCAAACTTAATACTGCATTAATATGTTATGAGAGGTCATTCGTTTTCTTGACAGTAAATTTTCTCTAGAAATGAACTGGTCCTATGATTTTTTCTAGGTAGAAAATTTTTAAAAGCCTTTTATCAAACAGGATTACAGCCTTGATGAAAAGGTTATCACTTTCTGCCTTCCTTTGTGCTAATACTAGTAAACTGTTCCCTCTATTTGAAATTGGGGCAGGGACTGATTCCACTCAAGGTTCTCACGCTGCGCAGCTGGTATGGGTTCTACAGCTGGTTTGAGGAGTCTACCTGAAAAAGTCAGAGCTTAAAGCTATGAAATTTTTAAAGTCTTTTTTAGCTGTAAAATTCTGATTCTATGATACAAAGTTTAAATCACCACTGAGAACAAAATGAAAAACATGCTTATTCAGCTCAGTATTCCTGTAACTTAGGACACTGATCAGTGGAGCAATCTAAATGTACAGAAGGCCTGCCTCACACAGAGAGCACAAGTGAAAATTAAGCCTTAAAAGGAAATTACAGCAAGAAAATATTAAAGGCGACAAAAAAAGTAACACTGAAAACTTCATCTGTGTTTCATAATATTTGTTATTATGGACCTTATAGCTCGGCTATTTTAAAGACACTAAGTGGAGTAACCAATAAACACACTCAAATGAATAAGTGCTTATGAGATCAGATTTGGCTGTACTCTGTCCAAGTTCTCTGAGGAATAACTACAGGGTAGAGATTACTCTGGAGACAAAATTGCAAATGGGAACACACCCAATAGCATGAAAAACCATCACTATAGGATTTCCAATTCTAAAATCCTATGTAGCATTGTAGGAAGAATGATACAAACAAAATTCTGGAACTAAATATTCTGAGGGTATAGCTATATCTTCTAAATTCCACAAACTAGTGTCTGAGTTACAATTTTACCATTATATCAAAGAAAAGATACATATCTTACCTACAGATGCTTGGAAGAAGCATCTTGGAAGAAAAACTCCTTCAAACATTAAAAAAAATTTTTGAGTAAATTTCTTAATTACTGACAATCAAGAGTCAATATTTTGTTTCTCCAGTTAAACAAAGCTTCTATAACACACTGCCAGCATTCTCAACAGGAACCCCTTTCCTAATTCTGAGTATGCAGGAGAAATTTAACAGATTATAAACAAACATAAAATTAGAAAAATCATTTTTGGAATACTATATATACAAAACAGAAATTTTGTTTTAATATGGGAAAAA